AATCACATTACAACATAGCAACCAAATAGAAGCTCTGTTCTGTTTGGGAGAAGGGTTGTTGATCACTATACAGTGGGGCTGCAATCTCTCAAGTTGCTGCCAAATAGCATCTTGACCCTTCCACGTGGAAAAGTTGTATCCTGCCTTGAAATCCATAGGCGATGCAACTTTAACACCATTCTTTGAAAGGAACCAAGATAATCCACTGATTCCATGAAGTAACTCAACAACATCAGGATGATCATCATTACAAAAGAAAAAGGACTGTTCTCCGAATTCGGCATCAACATACAATTCGTGATCTTCACGTAAGTTCTCCGGATTCTCATCGTCTAATGCCGGAATGGAAACATCATGCCACTCATCGTGATCACGTCTAACCTTTGACTGATTCACACGTACCACTGCCTTACCAGTGTTGGCTTGGACCATAGCTCCTTCTTGTCCAAGTACTGTGGCACGAACCCAACGTCCTTTATCCTTGAACTTTGATGAATCCTGAGTCCAAATAAAAACCTTCTCACCTTGGAAATATGGACCGTCACTTGGCATAGTCCTTCTTGCAAGATCTGCTCGAAGGTCCTGAGCTTGTCGTGCTTCTTGATGAGCTCTCAAAGCCACACGCTGTAGTTCCAAATTTGTACGATCTTGTGCGGCGGCATTAGCTGACAATTGCTCAGGGCTTGCGGTCTCAAGGTCAAAAAGATCTGGTGGACGTCTTCCAGTTGCTATCTCTATTGGTGAATATCCACTGAATATCCACTGATAGTCAACTGACAATTTCTTGCCCACACTACTTTCTTGACCACTTCTCTGACCGTAACACCACGAAAACGTGGGTCATCCAGGTCTACCTTCATAACATGCCACATACGTTTGAACAAACGTACAGCTGTCTCTGCTCGGTTTGGCCAAGGAGTTCTTGGCCCACAAGGACATTGTTGTATACCATGGAACCTGTAGTATTCAACAAAAGCATCGGTGAAAAAGGCTTCGTCTCCTACGATGGCCTTCGGAACACAGTTGTTCTCATCAGACCACTGCCTCAATGCTTGGATGGTGGTTTGATCTATGAGGTCTTTCTGTGCCGTAGCCCAGAGAAGATTTGTGGCACCATCAAGAACAAGTAAAATGATATACTTGTTCTTGTGAAGTTCAACCTCACAATGATCAGCAAAAACAACATCACCAAAACATGAAGCTCTAATACCGGAGGCTCTGGCTCGTGGCGGAGGTGCCACTGAAGTGTTACAAACACGGCAGTTCCTGACAACTGATTCATACTTCTCTAAAACAGAGTCAGGAAGCTTCAACATAGAAACACGTCTACGAAACTGAGTAGGACTCATATGGTAGTGCTTCACATGAAGCTTATAAAGCTCTACCTTGTCCTCCAGTCTCTGCAACATCTTCCTATATGCCGGTGTCATTGCAACAACTTCACTACCAGGTAATGGGATTGAAATCCGCCTAGGCTCAAGAGCGCCATCACCTGGTTCAAGTGGTTCATGTTTATCACTTGATTGTCCTTTTGATGCTTTAGGAATTTCTACAAGTTCACCTTCTGGCCTCTCAGGTGGTTCTGAGGGAGCATACTCCTCAAGATCATCACCCTTTAAATCATTCTGAGGCTCAGATGGTTTCGACTTGTGTCCTTTCCAAAATGGATCAAAACCCTTGGAAGTATACCGAAACTTTGGCGGCACGGGCTTTTCCGCGGCACTGGATGGTGCACCTTCCTTCTCTGACGAGAAGCCTGGTTCCCTGTCCTTTGCAATGGGAACCTTCTCTGAGGAGGAGCGCACCACTGCATCGGGATCACCAATGCCACGGTGCTCAATGCCAGCCTTCCTGATACTTAGATCTGGAATTTTGGCATCTGGCTTGAACTTAAAAATTGTTCTACCACGCCATTCATAGCCAATTTGTAGGTCCTTCCATTTTGCCTTGCGCCAATCATCTTGCTTCTTGATCTCTTCTCCTCCTTTCTTCTTCTTGATGATTGTCAATCGCAAGTCTTCCAGTAAGTCAGTGTCTACAGGACAGGACTTAGTTGCTGGAAAAAGAATCTTTCTATAATCCTTGTGGTGACGTATCAGTTCTCTCTTGTGAACATCTACTTCCCAGTAGTCAACCACAGGATATGCATGTTCAGCTACATCTTCATCACTATTGAGATCAACAGAAATATGACCATATTCATAGTGAGTGAAGTGCGAGTAAAAACTCTTCTCGCGCCGAGTCTGCAAATTCACGTCAGACAGATACCATGCAATATCTTGGAAGTCCAAGACAAGATGAGTACTGGCTGCAACCTTCAACTCCAAATATTTGATACCAAGAGGCACCGATGTCAGATAAGCATGTTGAGGTGTCAGCCTGAGTTCAAAGCCTAAGTTCCTCATCTGTGGCAAGCTCATAAGCAAAGGGACTTCTCCTTCTTCCACTATGTCGAACTCTGTATGGTGGATCGTCCATGCACGATCATACATGTAAATCACCAGTTTCTGAGAGCAAGTAGCCTTCTGGGAATTGGCAAAGTAAAACTTGCTCTTGGTAGCCTCAAAAGAGTACCATAATCCACAATCTGGGTGATTGTCGACATAGTTGCAAAAATGGTCGACTGCTCGCCTTGATCCCATAGCTCTAGTGCATCCAATGTCCAGGATTGCAATAGTCGGCGGGAAGCGATTCTCAGTCAAAAATGAAATGGCCTGCATCTCCTTCACTTCTTCCTCAGCGCTCATAAGCGCAAAGCCCTCAGGAGCCTTTGTGAGCACCTCCTTTGACAAAGAGTACCTCACAGGGGCACTCATGCCATTGAAGATCGTCTCACCATTGTTGACCGCGCAGTCAGCTTCATCTTGACATGAGGTCATCATGCCTGACAGCAAGTTCAGCTCACTGTCATGGACTTCAGCTGCTGCCGTCACACAATGTGCAAAGAAACCTTGTTGACCTCCTGATGCTTGTGAAGTTCTTGAAGGTGCAGGTAAAGAACGTGACTGTTGTTGATTTGCATAGTTTGCATCTTGTTTGCCATCTCCTTTATCTTTTCCTTTTCCTTTCTTGCCTTTTCTCTTGCCTTTTCCTTTTCCTTTGTGGGAAAACCATGCTTCTTCAAGCTGTTGCCAAAAGTCATTGGCATCATCATATTCTCCTTGAAGATAGTCATTCATATCTTCGGCAAGAATGGCATCATATGCTACTTGGTTTGACTCCCAAGTGTCCTCATAAGGATTCTCTTCAAAGTATTCATCTGGAAAAGTTGTCTGTTGCTCATCAGCAAAATGGCCTTTACCTCGTCTCTTTCCTTTTCCTTTTCCACGAGGTCTGAAGAATCTGCGGCCTGATCTTCCTTTACCTTTTCCTTTTCTTCTTCCTTTTCCTTTGCCTTTTCTGGCTCTTCTTCCTTGGAATCTCCTTTGGAACCACGAGAAGTTTTGATCATCATATACCCAAAAGACATCGTCCAGGGCATCTAAAAATCCTTCTGTTCCATCTTCTTCATCTTCGGCCCAATAGCCAAATGTACCATCGAGTTCTCCTTCGTCTAGTACGAGAAATGATCTTCTACCTCCAGCACCTGTTGGCTGCATCAAAGGATTGTCTACTGAAGTCCTTGTCGTGCAGAACATCTCGATGAACACTGTCCTCAACTCTGTTGTAGTATACTGCTGCAGGACCCTGCCACGATGAGTCATCAAAGAAGTCAAAGTGTTTCGCTGGTCCTGAGACAAATCTGCAAGTGACAGCATGAGTAAGGCAATGAGATTTTCTCCTAGAGGAAATTCGTTCTGATGAAAAGTTCTCATATTGCCATTGATGGTCTGCATGATTTCCTGAATCCTTTCTGCCGTTGGTGCTGCTCCAGTCAACGCTGCATCTGCCTGCATCTGAGCTAGGACTTGTGGATGTGCTTGAGTGACTGGTTCTAACATGTCCATCCAACTGCTCATAAGCCTTTGGAGTAAAATCTGGAATCTTGTCATCCATTTCATCATGTCAGCTGATCCTCGATTGAAGCGCACGAATTGCATGAACCTATACAGGAATACATTGGTTGATCCTTTCACGAAATATGGTCGTAGTACTCGTTTGAAATATTCTACGCCGGCTCCTGGTGGATCATTTGCCTTCAATGCATCTCTGTCTAAAACACGCTTGTATACAGCTGCTTCTCCTTCTAATCTGTTTCTCAATGCTGGTCCTCTCTTCTCATCTTCCAGCTCGGTGATATCACACCAATCGTCTATGGCATCCTCATAGGAAAACCATGAAGTCTTTCCATCATAAGATGGGGGCACCTTTGTAGTGACCTGTGTTGTCATTGCTATTGCTGCTGGTTCTCTTCTCACATGCCTATTCACGTAGGCTGCTGGCTCATAAGCCACATCCGCATCAGGCTCTTCCCAGTCGTC